TGTAAGGAAGTGGTGCTCTATTGGTGTTTTATTTAATTGCTTTTTGAAAAAAAGTCTTGAAACAAAATCTAAAATGGAACAGAGAGATGGAATTATATAGATTCAATTGCAATTTGGTATTAAAAAAGGTAGTTAAGTTAGGATAATTCAATTTATTACGTATTTTGAGGGAAAAGAAGATAAATAATTTGCTTCAGTATGGTTTGTGTTGGCAAGCTTATTCTCACACAGAGTTCTCACTGAAGTCAATGGAGCACTGAGAAGATTAGGCAGTTTCCTGGCACCAGTAAATTGCAGTTTGGATTTTAATGGATCACCTTTGATGTGGTGTTTTGTTGTTGGTTTGGGGGGGGGTGTGTGTGTGTGTGTGTTTGTTTTTTTGTTTGTTTAGTTTTGTTGGTTTGTTTTGTTGTGGTGTGGTTTTTTTTGTTTTTTAATTTGTTTGCTTGTTTCTGAGATCCTAATTACTTTTCATTTTTTTAGACTGAATTCTGATTTTGTTTTGTAGACATGTAATATATGCATTTAGCCATTTTAGATTCCTCTAATTTAAAATACTTAGTATTCATATTGACAATTACTGTTTGAGTATAAATGTTTACCTGCTCTTTCAATTAAAAAAGAATCGATTTTCCTATCTTGTTATTGTAGAAAATATTTGTGAGCCACAAAAAGGTTTTCTTATGTATGCTGGTACTCCTTTTTTAGTTTTAGCTCTCTCTTAAAAAATGCAGTCATCTGTACAGAATGCTTCTACCATAAAATGTTTTTAAAACTCAAAATAAAATGCTTGGTGAATACTAGATTTACGAGTATTCCTTTAACTAGCTTTGAGGTCATATTTTTACAGGTATGTTGAATGCAAGGTAATTTGTATTGTTTGTATAATGTCCCAGATAAGAATACAGTTATATGAAGCATGGTCCTATGGGAGGCATGTTGCTGGAGTTAGGCAGGGCGCCATTGACTTCATTGGGATCATTGTGGAACTGAGCACCCTCTGTTTGGTTCTGGACTTTTTGACTCTTCAGAGTAGAACATTCCAGCTGGTGGAGTGAACCTGACTTCACTTTGAACATGGTAGCTGTTTTGCCATGAGCAGCAATATTAAGAATGATTGAACCATAAACCATTTCTGGACCATGGAAGTCCAGAAATACCTCCTATGAACGTAACTTTTCTAACTGAAGGAGTCAGGGTTTGGTTCAATAAATACTGTTGACTTCTTGGAGTTTGTTAACAGTGGTCCCAGAGTACCATTTTTTGGCATGCTTGCCATGTCATCTGGATAGCATGAGATATGATGTTGCTGTTGTAATGGTCTGGGATGTTTCTAGCAAACTCTGACAAGTTTACAAGTAGACTGTCTTAAATACTTTCAGTAAAGGCTATATTAACCTGCAATATACTGTCTGTTCTGGTAGTCTTCTTAATAAGGACATATGGCATGTATATTTGTCTTTGTGAAGCTTAGATTTTTTAGTTGCTTTCGTATCTTGTTTTCGGGGGCTTTTTGGTTTTATTTTTTGGATTTTTTCTTCAACCACAAAGAGAATATTGCTGTATCCACTTGAAGCTCTGTAGAGGCTAATGTGGAACTAGAGTCATTATTATTAAAAAATTTCCCCTAAATAATAGACTACAAATTATTCAGGATCTTAGTTTTACATTTCATTGAAAAGACCTTAACACTGGTTCAGTACTGCCAGAGAGGGATGATTGCCACCTAATGAATGAACAACGCTTCCTGGTGGTTTTCTTGTGATGACATCACTGCCTGATGTGATATGGCAACAGGCAGGTAAAGCTATGTTTTCCTGTGTCTCTTGATAGTAGACAATGAATGGCAAGAGAATAAAATCAATGTTCTGGCTAATCTTGTTCCAGCCCCATTTTTAACTGACATATTGGGCATTCCTGAGAAAATGTATTATAGAATAATTGACGCTGTTCAAAATGATTCTGGACCCCATAGAGATGTATGCATAATTAGGTAAACAAGTGATTGAGTTGAGAGGTCAATTTTTTTTAATGTCAAAGTGGTGTTTCCATGTAACTTTATAACAGAATCACTAATTTTAAAGATGGGAATTTATATAAATTCACATAACTTTCTGCGGAATATATTGTGTGGAGTAAGTATGGCTTTGGAGAGCACAAAGTAAGATTTTCGACTGACTATGTATTATGTGATGAGTAATAGCCAGTGGAGTGCATCATGGGCTTTGAAAGTAGTGATGGTTATATTCTGCCAGGAGTTAAAATTATATCCTTGGCCAGTGGTGCCAGTAATAAAACATTTCATGTGCCAGATTGAGCATAGGAAAGAGGTAAAAGGGAGCTCTGAAAACCTGGTTTTAAAACTCAAAATCTGAAATTTGAAGTGTATTTAAACAGTGGTAAATTGAGGGAGTATGAGGAGGTAATCACTATACAATGAAAACACAATGTTAATTTTGTGATGTTTAATAAACAATTTGACAAAAATGCAATTGTAACATTAAGCTATCAGAATATGACTTATGTATGTGTGAATGGGTAGGTTTTTCTTTAAACATTATTCTTTGAGAACACAAAGGTTGAAAGATAAAGATACCACCCTAATCATTCTAAATTTTATGTCCACATTATCTGGTAGATGGATTTTGACTATTAATTTGGTTTTATATGTTTTCTCTGTGTGATATTTGTGCATTATTAGATGACTAGACTGGCCAAGGCAGACCTGTTACACTTGCCTGAGTTAGGCATTGTTTGCCATGCCACTAAACCTGCCGCCAAGTGAAACCTTCATGGGGGAAATGAGATCGAAGTCTGGCCTGCTGAAGATGGACGCCCTGTCTCTGTTTTTATTTTATTTTGATTTCTTTCCTTTGTTTCTTTTTATTTTGATTTTGTCCCTTTTTTTTCCTTCTTTTGTTTTGTTTTGTTCTGTTCTGTTAAATCTCTTTCCCTTGTACTTGTGAACTGGTACTTCAGTTCTGTAAAAATGGTGTTTTGTAAAGGGTTCACAGTGTTTCATTTTGAAGTTGACCTGAAGCTGCTTATGAATGGTGGATGGTATACACAGAATTTAGAGCATGATTTATGTTGTGAATTACAGGTAAATTTGATTTTGAATACGTTTAAGCATCTAAATTCAACAGATAAACACATTGTGTCAGGATCCAGGAACAGCGAAAAACCATTTTAAAATTCATTCTCTCATATGTTGTACTTCATGAGTTTATCTTGGAAAAGAGTAGTTAAAACTCATACTTCGTGGAGAAATTAACTTTACGAAGTAGAGTCATGATCTTCCTCTGCTGTTTTTCCCCTTAGCAGAGTAGTTTTAGGTTGCGCAGTCTGTTTAGAAGAAGGCTTACTGTTTATGACTAGTATGAACAGTTTAATTAGTTCTGAAATTGAACTTTCATGAATATTGAATGCTGTGAAATACTGGTTTGCTTCTGATGAAACCTTGCTCCAGTGAGGTCAGTGGCAGTAAGATTTCATCCTTCTGTTTTTGTAATTTTCAGAAAAAAACTGTTTACCACTCATAAGTACAAATGCAGCCTGAAGTTTTGGTTGGAATGTGTTATGTGAGGCACATTGTCTTTCAACACTGTTATTTGTGGGGAGATTGAATCAGTTCTCCGTGTGTGTATGTATGTGTATATTGCACTTTGACATGCTACAGTGGTGGTGATTTCAAGAAGAGTATTTTTTTTAAAAAGAAAGATAGCAAAAAGTGTCTTCTTGGTCATCTCACAATGTGACAAACCCTGGCAGTTCATGCTGGAGTGATTGAGAAAGTTCTTGTCTGTAAATGATGTTCTTGTAAAATGGAAGTGGTGGACCAGGTGGTGTGTCTAGTCCTCAGGCATGGCTCTTCCCACCCTGCTGCATTGGAATTGGTTGGTTTCACTCTGGTAATGCGGCAGGCTGTGCAGTGCAGCTGGAAAGAGCTTTGTTTAGTGATCTGTGTTGGATTTAGCCGTGGCAGTTGAGGTAATTGCCAGTACGTGTAATCTCTTTAATCACTGCTGCTAAATCTGATAAGGGTCATGAACTGGATCACACAGAAATTATTTGTAAGTCTGCAATTTTCACTGATTAAAAATAGCAGGAAAATATCAATTTCTTTAATTACATTTAGAGTAGATTTGAACTGTAAGTATTTTTAAAACAAACTTATTTTAGAAGCAGTTTGGGGAGGGAGGGCGGAACTAGCCATGTAGTTTCAGTACAAAGAGTAGGAAATTAATTTCTTCTGAGCACTTGGAAGGGAATAAAAATACTATGATTAGTACTTGCCTAACACAGATACTTCAGTATTTAGCAAAATGGATTGCAGCATGGGCAAGGATGACTAGGGCTCTTGAGCACTTTGATACAAAAAAGTAACAATCATAACTAATATTTAGGACAGCTGTACATTTCCTAGGAAGCATAAGGTGTCTCTAGGCAATGCAGAGCTAATTTATATCTGCTTCCAGATTTCTATGCAAATGAAGAATCAAGAAATAAATTATCATAGAAACTATATTTCCTAAACACAAGAACTTCCAGGAAACCGTTTTAAGGATGTATAGGTGTGGCATATTTATTTTTTCTGTTTCCCTTATTAGAAAATAAATATCTTTACCTCATTTTCATTCAGCTTTTAAATACTGTGAGTTTAAAAACAAAACAGTTATTCTTAAAGTAAAATGACTTAATTTGCTATGTCATAACCCACGTTTTGTTGTATCTTTGTGGACTTGTATTCCTTTATTATAAGTAAATTCATGGAGATAAAACTCCGGAATTTAAACGCTGTAAAAAGTGAGGTTATTTGGCCTCACATACTAATTTGTTATGGGTTTGTTTTGTTGTTGTTTTTTTTTAACTGTGTAGAGAACAGGGAAGTATATTTGCAAGATATTTCAGGTTTCCTCCCCCCCCCCCCCCCCCCAAGACTGAGTTTAATTTCTACAGAATTTTTTAACAGTTTGACATGGTCTTCACATGAAGGCAATATCTTTGAATATTCAGGCAAATTTTCAGGGTTCTGTCTGTCAACACAGATGCTTTATCATTCTTGAATTAATACACAAATCCTTTTTTTGTGGCATGGAACTGACCACCTAGATTTTGGTACATTATGAAGGGCCAAAGTATTCTGGAAATAATGCTGCTAACTTCAGATACACATGTTGTTAAATCTTTGAACTGCTGTAATGGTGCACTTAGCCAAAAGTTGTTACTTGAGCAACATGAGTAATGCCAATTACCTCTGTAAGATGAACAATATACTTACAGCTTAGGCTTGTATTTAAGTAGCTGTCTGAACTTGGCTCATTGTCTGTTATGTGCCTAACTCAGTTCCTACTTAAAAGGGCTGAATGCCTAAACATGTCTTAAATTTATCTGATTAAGTATATATTGAATTGGCTGTATGTAAGCACATACTTAAATTAGGCATATACTTATGTACATTATTGGACAAGGATCTAAATTAGAATGCAGACACACCACTTCAGGAGCCATTTCCACCATTGGATTTACTTGATCCATGTCTGTTGATCCTGTAGAAACCTGCATGAGTATCCAGTGAATTGCAAGATGCTAGTTGTTCAGGATAAGGTCTGGTTCATTTATCATTTGAAAGTGCTTAAATACTAAGATTTTTAGAAGAACTAGTATGTAATTCTATGCCTAATTTGCATGCACAGCTGCTGGAACTATATTTGAAAGCCTGTTAGTGAGCTACATAATAGGCAGGATGTACCGTGAAGTACCTGATACTCATGCGCAGTTAGGCAGATCATGTACACCTCTTGTTGCATGTCTGACTTCAAAATGGGATCTATAAAGAGTGCTGAACATTGTGATGATGACTCAGATTCATGCATGGGTTTTGTTTTGTTTTGTTTTTTTTTGTTTGTGGGTTTTTTTTTTTTTTATTTTTTTAAGCCCTGGAAATCGTTATTGCACAGTTAATTATTAACTGCTAATAATTTTCCTATTTTTCTCCTTTTGATAGCAAAATCAAGTGGTTTGTTACATGTTAAGGAGCAAGGTGCCTCAAAATTTAACATAAATGTAAATAGGAAGCATGAGAAAAAATGGGTACTGTTTTTAATTTTCTATTCCACCCATGCTACATACACATTAAGTTTCATTTAGATTTGTTTTGTCTTTTGGTGACACTCAACTGTAACCCAGTCCTTGTTGCAGATCTGTAGAACAGGTTTCCTTACTTTAATTTTTTTAAAAGTAGATGTTTCCTGTGGAGTCTGTAGGAACTTTTATGGCTAAAGAAGCACAGTATTTTGAAACTTACCTTGTATTTTGCTTTTTTGATAAGAATATTTATATACTAATTTTTAAACCCTGAAGGTGGGGGTTTTACAGTTTAAGTATACACAGTTTGAACCAAAGCAGTAAAAGCCACTGATGCAGTATTTGTATATACCTTGACTTTTAAAACAGTGTTTAAATAAAAGCATTTACTTTAATAAAGTGCATACTGAAGGGCTTAGTTGGATAGCATATATACAATTATGCCAGTAATTTTGAATAGATCATAGGTATCTAGTATAATCAGAACTTTTCTGTAGTTTTACAGTTTAGTGTTTGATGTTTGTGCCAGTTTAAATCCCTTTGCATTTCAAATTTAATATGTACATATAATTGTAGTTATAATTGTTTAACTATTAAACCTTAATTTTTGAAGATTTGGGGTCATTTAGCAGTCTAATTGTGGCCAATGTTGAATGAAACTTCCGTTTAATTCAGATTAGCTATTACTTAAACTTCTAGCATGACAGGGGCAGTATAACCTGGATGAAATAATGGAAAATTAATATTTGGGGAAAATATAGCTTGCTTACCTGATCAGTTGCAATTTTTTTCAATCTTAATAAATTTAAATCTTATTTATCAGAGTTTCGGGTAAACTGAGGTGAACTAGAATGTGAGACAGTACCAGCTGAGTTTTTTCTGCCCTCCCCTCTTCCACCTCTGACTTCACTTGTAATGTGTGTTGAGTGGAGTCACAGTAGTTTAGTAGTATTTTTTAATTGTTATTTTATTTTTACATCCAAAGTAGGTATCACCAGAGGAATTAAAAAAATAAAAGCTCAGACAACAAAAACAAACACAAATTTCAGTTAGCACATACTTTGTTTTTTCTTTTCTTTTTGTTTTACTGGTTTGGTTATTTGCCATTTCTGGGGATTAAACTTTAAAAAATGTTCTTCTTTTCTGTATCTGATGTTCTGTGTGCTATTAGTGATGCAGCCAACACGAACGGTTGTCATGTGTAAAACAACTTTCGATCACCGCGAAAACACCGCCCTGGGAAAGCGTCCATGCTTGATATCGTTTGGTTCATGAACATTAAGTTTCCAGTACAGGTGACCCATAGCTCAAAGTGTTAAATAATTGTATACATTATTCAGTTTTAAAAATAATCATTAATGAGACTGCTAGTCTTTGAAGTTTTGCTCACTTTTGTTTTTCCTAGTAGAGGCAGGGTAAAAGGAAAAACTTAAGTTCTTATTTGTTTCTTTGTAAGGATCTGGTAGATAGATTCATTGTTATTTATTACATATTTAAATACAAGGGTAGTTGTAAAATCATAGAAAGAGTAACATCTGTGTAGTGTTCCAACTCTGTGTAATGCTTTCATTTGCTTCTTCAGGTAAAATCCCAGATGAAGCCAAAGCCCTTTCCTTGTTGGCACCTGCTCCTACTATGACAAGTCTGATGCCTGGTGCAGGGTTGCTTCCTATACCTACACCAACTCCTTTGACTACAGTAAGCAAAATTCAGCTGCTGTTTGATTTCTGGTTTCCTTTGTACTCAGTAGCCTTTTCTGTGTTTAGAGAGCAAGAACTATTTGGTCCATGGATCCCTTGTTGTGTCATTTTTAATTTTTGTCTTTCCCTAGACCCATTAATTTGGTTCAATGGCAGTGCTTTCCACTTCCTAAAAATTTGTTAAAGCGTAGTTACATTGACACAGTATTAAAATGCTGCATTAGGGTGCTTTAATTGTTATCTGTACAACAGGGCTTTTGACTCTTTTGCCTCATCATGTTTTCAATACAAAGAGGATAGGAGCTACCTGGTGCTACTTCTGTTTAGTTCCATTTTGCCTCTGTAAGTCTTTCTTGATATCAGCAGGCTTCTGTGACCTATTCAGGGGAAAAATCAAGTTAAAATAGAGTAGTTTTCTCTTTTGTTGCATTAAAAAAAAAAATAAAATAAAATTGGTGCCTAGTTGAGAATTTCTCATATTTATTAGAAAATTTGTTTGCTGGAAAGGCAGTTGCTTTTTGAGTGGAGAAAATAAAATTCAAACCAGGAGCTCAGCAGACCATTTTAGTAGTGATTTTTAAGTGAAAGAGAACTGTATTGTCTTTGTTCTCTAGGAAGTGACTGTGTTTGTAGGAAAAGAATTTAGGCTTAATATCCTTCAGATTTCAACTGTAATTTATTTTGCCTTTCATGATATGTTGGTTGAAAAAATACCTTTATTTGTTCCTTTGATGGACTGATAACCTATTACTGAACAAATTGGTCCTAGGCACTGCAGATTGCCTATTTCCTGTGCTGAACAAGGGCTCAGCAGTTCCTTACCTACTTTTATATTTGTTGTGGGGGAAAAAAAAAAAAAAAGTAAAAAAAAAAAATATGAGCAGTGTCTGGAGGTGTCTCAATCAAATTGATGGACTGTTAGAAATTCAAGCCCATTTGTTTTCTGATTGATGCAGTACATTGCTGGCCAGACCTCTTTAATAAGATGTTAACTAATAGTGCACAGAAAATTGTAACTTTAGGAAATTATTTATGCATTGATTTTTATTCTTTAAAAAAAGTGCTCAGCTGGGACCTTAAAGTATTGCCTGTATTCATTAGATTTATTTTTACAGAAATGCACAAGACAAGCATGTGTTACAAACAAGTGTTAATAAGTGAAGTATCTTCCACCAGTGCTTGGTTGCAAAGCATATTCAATTTTTGTGTTTTCCAGCTTGGTGTTTCACTTGGCACTTTGGGGGCTATACCAGCAGCAGCATTGGACCCTAACATTACGGCTCTGGGAGAAATACCACAGCCACCAATTATGGGGAATGTGGATCCATCCAAAATTGATGAAATCAGGAGAACAGTCTATGTTGGAAACTTGAATTCACAGGTAGCTGTTTTTTGTGTAATGGAAATAATAATGGAAAGTGCAGAATTGCAATTTATGAATTCTAATCTTACATGTTAAAAAAAAGAGTTTTTGTTGATAACAGTAAGAATTAAAAAATAATACTTTTTTTGGTTACTAGTGGTATTTTGAATTTTGAATGCTCCTGTGCCAATCAGATCAGATGAAACTGTGGAGCATTCTGGCAGGACATGAAAGAAATCACTCTGTAGCTGAGTTGCAAAAGCATACTTACAATTTTGTGTGTTGATCAAATGTACAGCTGGGTTGTGTTAGCTGAGCAGTGCCTCTGAAGTCATGAGATCAACACTGTGCAATGGCTCAGCTATAGCAAGGTGGAATGGTGTGTCCTACTGGAAGTTGATAAATTAGCGTAAATACTGTTTAGCATAATTAGCATAAATACTATGCTAATACTAGTTTCTATAACATGAAAGTTAGGTCTGTCAGAAACTTGGTGGTTGGTTTTTGTTTTTTTATTTAGCAGTTGATTGAATTAATTGAAAAACAATTGGCTTTTGACTGATGGCAGTGTATTCTATTTGGAGGTTTTTTTGACTGCTAAATTAGCTACTAGAGTGTGGAAGTACTACTGATTGGAATAAAATAAGCTGGAAGCTAGTAGGAAAGCATATAAAAGCTAAGTCTTGTGATATTGTTTGGACTTTTTTTTTAATTGATCAAAATTCACAATCAATATCTTGGCCACAAGTGTGTAAGGAAGTTCCTTATCAGTTATTTCAGATCATTTGCCTGAAAAGCACACAACCCTCTGCAAATGCTTTTTAAACCTAGATGTAGGACTTCAGAGCTTGTGGTTGCACTATTTTGACTTGTAGTATATTCTTTAGATTAATGGAAGAAAAATACCAAATTCATGTTACCTGCATAGTGATAGTGAGATATCTTTCCAAAATCTGTAGCTCTTAGATGGCCTGATATACTGGATAAGTGGTTTTCATTGTATATTTCACTTCAGCTGAGCTCTTTGACTCTTTCTAGACTACAACAGCAGATCAGCTGCTTGAATTCTTTAAGCAAGTTGGAGAAGTCAAATTTGTGAGAATGGCAGGTGATGAGACACAACCAACAAGATTTGCTTTTGTGGAGTTTGCAGACCAAAATTCTGTACCTCGAGCGCTTGCCTTTAATGGAGTTATGTTTGGAGACAGGCCACTGAAGTAAGAAATTAATTATCTGTATGACTGTTGAATGGGAGATTTCTTTCTTTGCTTCTACATTTATGATTTTGATGTACAGGAAACTGCTGTCATGAATATTTTTTTCAATATAAGGACCTATTAGCAAAATGGAACATTTTTATAAACTCCAATTTCAAAGTTTCTCTCAGAAGAATATAAATGGCATAAGTCTTTAGTACTAATTAAGATTTCTGTATGATGTGTATGTAATTAGTAGGCCTTAACATAGAGATTTGATCTGAAATAGAGAAATAGATTCCTAGACTTCAAGTAGAAAATACCTTAACGCAGAAATATTGTTCTACATTTATTTAAACATGGTAAGATTTGAAAGCAGTAAAAGTCATTTCTGATTCTTAGACAAGCTTGAGGACACATATGTATTTTTTATGAACTTTGAAGTTTTTAATTGTACTTGGAAGTTGAGGTGTTTTCTTAGTTGTTTTTTCATTTTCAAGTGTTTGAGATTTAAAGGTTTTACTTTTCCTAATTTAGAATAAATCACTCCAATAATGCAATAGTGAAGCCTCCTGAAATGACACCACAAGCTGCTGCCAAGGAACTGGAAGAAGTGATGAAGAGAGTCAGGGAAGCCCAGTCTTTTATATCTGCTGCTATTGAGCCAGGTAGATATATTATGCTCCTTACCTAGCAGACACATTTTGTGTGTACCTTGGCAAGTGCTTTAAGAGCATTTTCGAACATGGGGAAAAAGGTACTTGAAGGTGAACAATTAAGTGTTGGCAGAAATTAAAAATAATCAAAATTGTGTTAGTGCAACAAAGCAGTGGAATGAAGCTGTTTCATTGTGTCTTATTTTCAGATACATGCTCACTGAATGTTTTAAAAAATTCAGAGTTAATTCTAAATTAATAAGTAATGTTTCTTTTTAAGTTCAAAGTGCTTACAAACTTGGAAAATATTTTACATTTTGTTTTGTACTCCTCTGACATCTTTTAAGAACATAGCTTCATGGTCAGAGGGAGCTAGCAGGGTTCTGAAAGCAGAGACATTATGCTTTCCTTGTCTGCAGCAAGTTAATTTTGTCCCCGTGCTATGCTCTTTTGTGCTGGCTCAAGACTCTGTGCATCCTCATAGCAAATGACATCAGAGTAGGAATCTGGGGTAGAACTTAACATATTGTAAAGGACATTTTTCATCCAGATTGGTTTCTTAATCCCTGTTAATACTGAGATGCCAGGTCAGGAGGAAGGCATTAGTGGGTTGAGGTTAGACATTTCATTGCTGATTTATGCTGATGTAAACTGATTGCAAAGCCACAGCATAAAAAAATTCTCAATTGTTAAACTTGCAGTTGAAATTGTCCTTTTTCATTAGCGATATTTTGCCATTCTTCTTGCCAACAAACCCAGACATTGTCTTAACGTAAGTTAGATACTCTGGAGTCTTGAGGTATTTTTTTTTGGGGGGGGGGGGGGGGGAGGTATGGTTGAGTATTATGGTGTTTTTTTTAGGGTTGGAAGAAAAGTGACTCTAATGTTTCCTCAGTGTCAAGCAGATGAATAACAGTCTTTTAGAGTATTAGCCAAAATCTGGGGAGGTCACAGTAAAGGTTTCTATTGACTTCCTCCTGCCTTTTGGATCAGACATTTCACTCTGTTCTCTCCATTTCTTCAAAACAGTGTTTGAGGAATAAAACTTCAATATTTATTATACAGAGGTTGAAAAATCAAAAAAAAAAGTACAGGAAGTGCTAATTACTGTTTACATTTTATGCTTGTTTTCAAAATTGTGTCCTCTAAATTCTTCTCAGGTTATTTTTAAAAACGTGTTGTGATCTTGTGCATTGTGGCAGCAACATAAATCCCATTCCTATAGAACTAGCTGTTTATAATTATCTGGTTTATGTGTACTGCTGCAGGATGGCTGCACTCAACGAGTATATGCAATGACTTTCTTGGATGTTTCTGAAGGATATTTGCAAAGAAGGAAGATGTGCAAAGAGTAGGCCCCTTGCACTATATGTGGTACATTCCACTTGTGCCAGATTGTTAACTGGGATCTTTAAATGTTCTGAGCTTACACTGCAAAGTGGTTTTTTCCTCTCAGAGTCTGGAAAGAGCAGTGAAAGAAAAGGCGGCCGATCTCGTTCCCATTCTCGTTCAGAGTCCAGGTCTAGCTCAAAATCCCGATCTAGGAGGAAAAGATCACACTCAAAACACAGGTAGGTGTGGGTTTTATTTTGCACTAAGAGATTTGAAAAGTCATGGCAGTCGGGTGAAGTTCCCGATGACTGGAAAAAGGGAAATATAACCCCCATTTTCAAGAAGAGGAAAATGGATGACCCAGGGAACTACAGAGCAGTCAGTCTCACCTCTGGGCCTGGCAAAATCTTGGAGCACATTCTCCTGGAAGGCATGCTAAGGCACATGAAAAACAACAAGGTGGTTGGTGACAGCCAGCATGGCTTCACTAAGGGGAAATCCTGCCTGACCAATTTGGTGGCTTTCTGTGATGGGGCTGTGGGATTGTGGGACAGGGGTAGAGCAGTTGATGTCATCTACCTGGACTTGTGCAAAGCGTTCAACGCTGTCCCACATGACATCCTTGTCTCTAACTTGGAGAGACAATTTGATAGGTGGACCACTTGGTGGATAAAGAACTGTCTGGATGGCCTCACACAAAGAGTTGTGGTCAATGGCTCAGTGTCCAGCTGGAGACCAGTAACGAGAGGTGTCCCTCAGGGATTGGTGTTGGGACCGGTCTTGTTTGACTTCTTTGTTGCTGACATGGACAGTGGGATTGAGTGCGCCCTCAGCAAGTTTGCTGATGACTCCAAGCTGTGTGGTTCGGTTGATACGCTGGAGGGAGGGAATGCCATCCAGAGGGACCTTGACACGCTTGTGAGGTGGGCTGATGCCAACCTTATGGAGTTTAACCATGTCAAGTGCAAGGTCCTACACCTGGGTCAGAGCAATCCCAGGCACAGCTACAGGTTGGGTGAAGAAGAGATTCAGAGCAACCGTGCGGAGAAGGACTTGGGGGTGTTGGTCGATGAGAAACTTAACATGACCTGGCTGCAGTGTGCGCTCACAACCCAGAAAGCCAACTGTGTCCTGGGCTGCATCAAAAGGAGCGTGACAGCAGGTTGAAGGAGGTGATCCCGCCCCTCTACTCTTTCTCTCGTGAGACTTCACTTGGAGTATTGTGTGCAGTTCTGGTGTCCTCAGCATAAAAAGGATATGAAACTGTTGGAACAAGTCCAGAGGAAGGCCACGAGGATGATCAGGGGACTGGAGCACCTCTCATAAGAGGATAGGCTGAGAAAGTTGGGGCTGCTGAGCCTGGAGGAGAGAAGGCTGCGTGGAGACCTCATAGCAGCGTTGCAGTATCTGAAGGGAAGCTATAGAGATGCTGGGGAGGGACTCTTCGTCAGGAGCTGTAGTGAATAGGACAAGGGGTAATGGGTTTGAACTTAAACAGGGGAAGTTTAGATTGGATATAAGGAGGAAGTTCTGTACCATGAGGGTGGTGAGGCACTGGAATGTGTTCCCCAAGGAAGCTGCGAATGCTCCATCCCTGGTGGTGGTCAACGCCAGGTTGGACAGAGCCTTGGGTGAGATGGTTTAGTGTGAGGTGTCCCTGCCCATGGCAGAGGGGTTGTGATTCTATACTGAAGGTTTTTGAGGTGGTGATGGTTACTGATACTTCTTACTGAGTTATAAGACAAGTACCCTTGCAGAAATTACTAACTTACACTGTGCAGATCAGAGTAACCAGGAGCTTTGTCTCTGAACAGATTCTCTTTCTCTCCAAATTCTAAATGTTTTCAGGATTGCTTTCAGTTAAAACATACTAGAAGGCATTTTCCGTGACATGTTGCGTAACAATTTCTGTGGTTTCATGGTACATTTTGTGAGAGGTAGCATGTTACCGTCTTGTGACCTGTATTTTAAAAGAAAATAGTAAAATTATTTTGCATATTGTGCATTTAGTTTACTGTTAATACCCTGTCATAGTTTAAGCCCAGCTGGTAACTCAGAACCACACAGCCACTTGCTCACTCCCCGCTTTTCCTCCTCCCGCTCCCGCAGGGATGGGGAGGAGAACTGAAAAAATGTAACTCCCACAGGTTGAGATGAGAACAGTCTGGTATCTAAGGTATAACATGAAACTAATACTGCTACCAGCCATAATAATAATGGTAAGGGAAGTGCAAGGGAAGAGAATACAACCACTCACCACCCGCCAACCAGTACCCAGCCCAACCTGAGCAGCAGTCTAGCCCTTCCAGGTAATTCTCCCCAGTTTATATACTGGGCATGACGTGCTGTGGTATGGAATACCCCTTTGTCTAGTGTGGGTCAGGTGTCCTGTCTCTGCTTCCTCCAGGCTTCTCCTCCTCCCTGGCAGAGCGTAAGACTCAGAAAGTCCTTGGTCAGAGTAAACATTACTTAGCAACAACTAAAACTGTTGGTTTTATTAGCATTGTTCCCAGGCTGAAAGTCAAAAACACAGCACTGCACCAGCTACACCCTGAGCAGATAGGCTGGCCAATTTTTCTAGTAGAAATGTCCCAATGTCCTGAACTTCTAAATACTGATTTAGTGAATGCCGTATTTTTACTTACTGTACTGTAATGTAAAACTATGGCTTTTTAAAGCATAAGAAAAAGGCTTTACAGGTAACTTTTCATTCTTCAGTTTTGTTTGCTTTGCTAAATTTGTTCAGTTCCAAAACAGGCTTTGGAATATGGGAGGAAATAAAATTCCTAGATTATCATTAAGACTTGGTTTGTTTTTTTTTTTTAATGATTTATCACTGTTACGGTGTATTTTGAAAATAGGCTGAAAAAAGGACAGTCTGATACATTGAGGCTACTTAATCACTAAGAGTAAACTATCTTCACCACAGATTGACTGTTTTATAAAATACTTTTAATCCCTATGATATAAAATTGATTCACGGTCTTATTTTGGCTCAATCATAATTAATTTGCCGTGTTGTTAGTTTGTGCTGATAAGGGAAGCAAAGCCGTAGGTAAAAATGATGGTTGCTTCTCCTCTTGGCTTATATGTCTCTGTGTCTTGAGCTCCAGAAGACAGGTTAAACTGGTATTTTTTGTACCTTCATGTTCTTCAGGACTTACTGGCATTTCTGTCTTTGGTAAGGTAAACATAGCACCATAGCCTCTCAGGCAAAGTGTCTAATGATGTGGGGTTTTGAAACTTTATGTTTAAATCCAGCTTTTTATTTTGCTTTCCTAGGGAGTATGATCTTCAAAAAAAAGGGAATATTTTGGAAAAAAAATACAGTACTTAAAAAGTCTTAATTTCTTCATCAAATCTGTGACTACGTATATCAGAAGACTTTAATTGAATTTTTGTCAGTATCTGCACATTATTTGCCTTACGTGTTTATCATTTAGTAAATGCTCATTCCTTCAGAATTCTTATAATGGAAATCCATGCTAACAAATCTTTTCAACTGAAAAAATAACATGACTAAATGCCTGAATCACAGATAGTGTTTGTTCTTGAGGTTTGTTTTTTTTTTTTTGGTTGGTTAGTTTGGGTTTTTTTAAAGTTAATTTAAATTGAAAGTCTGGAGACAAGGCAAAAAGAGACTAGTTAAAGTCATCTTTCTTGAGTGACCAAGACTGCAGTAAGTTACTAGGCCTGGAAAAGAAATAAAATCTAACTAATTTTTTTTTTTTCAAGCTGCTAGCAATTGTCTGCAGTAGATTTTATGCACTGTAATTCTGTAATTTACTAAGGACAGATACTCTAATATGATATGAATTAATATTTTCCAGAATGTTCATAGAGGTTATTAGGAAACATGGGTATTACCTAAATGGTGCACTTGTTTCAAAGGAGGGCTTTTGCAGCTGGTGAATCATAACGCATAAGCAAAAATATATACACAGTATATTACTGAGGTGTAACTCTTCTATAGTTTTATGTAGCGAGGCAAGATTTATGGGTTTTCCCTTTGTTGATTGACCTAATTTTTATGAAGTTTCAATTTTAAACTATTTTTCTTCTGGCATTGTTAATATAGAAGTAGATCTGGCAACAGATCAGTCTCAAGACACAAGGACAGACGCAGATCCAGAAGTCCTGTGAAAAAACGTTCTAGATCTAGGGAAAGGCGGAAATCAAGAAGTCGCTCTCGTTCTCGGTGAGTTCCATTCCTATGAAATGATACCGTTGCTCTCAGTACACAGTATAGAGTACTTGAAAAAAATCTAGCAGACCTTTCAGGTGATGGTAAAGGGTGGAATCTCTTAAATACTTTAGCCTCTCCGTAGGCTTTATCTGTGGGACAAAATAATAGTAAATTTTAATGCAGCGTGTACTGGTTTGGGCTGGATAAAGTTGATTTTCTTCATAGTAGCTCATATGATGCCTGTGGAGGTTAAACTACCATACTAAGGTACCTAATCTTTGATAATCTAGTCTACAATTACAGTAATGTACAAACTGACTGAAAACAGCTAGCTTTAATTGACAGACTTTAACCAATAGATTGAGAATTTTCAGTAGCATGTGCAGCCCACAGAAAAGTGGAGGATGATTGTTCAGTCTTTATCTGTTGAGAAGATTGGATTCAGGATGAATTTGATATCACATTCTGAGAACATGTATAAATTTTTTGTGCACAAGCCTGTATTGTTGCCTTTGGCTATCGTATTAGCCATATGGTGCTGTGGACACGAAATCATGTGTCTGTTACAGTATATTTGCATTTCAGGATCTAATAGATCTGTATTTTAGCTAGTCTATTCATTTTTAAGTCTGGTAGGCTAATTATTGAACTGAGAAATTCCAACAAGATAACATAATTTTCTGAGGGATGAAGTGGTTAATATTCACAAAACAAATGTCCCTATCAAAGTAGCTTCATGAATAGAAGTCTTGGTACTTTTCCTTCTGTTTCATCTCTGTAATTCCCCTGATTGATTTAAAGGGAGCTTCATGCTTAGGTTGTGCAGTTGCCTCTTATGTTTTGAGGGAAGAAGTTTTGTGGAAAAGAGAATTGCAGATCTTTGGACATTAGTGGAAACAGGAATAAGTTACCTAACTAGCTGGGCCTTATTGGTGTATCTTTTGATTCTCTGATGCTCTTTGGAGCTTTTTGAGATACCTGCTTACTGGAAGGGGGAAGTTCAATAAAATCTCTGTGATACATTATGTAAAAGGCACTCCTTGGCTAATTGTGGGACTGCTACTGCAGCAGTTGTGTGCTGTTTCATCTTCAAGATCTTACATTCTTTTTCTGAGACTTCTAGGGAAGCAAAATTGTCAGGTCACAGAGCATACAACAGCCTACTATTTTATTAGCAGTTTTGAAGAAGAGACAGCTAAGCACTCCTTTTCTTGAAGAAAGGTAGGAGCTCTGCTTAGGACCTTTTGTGTGTGGAGGAGTCTCTTTACCAAACTTTAAAAATCCTAGAATAGGTACCAGTACCAGTAGACACACCAACTTCTGTCAGTCCAGTTCTCTTGGACATGCAAAGGCATGCTAATCAACTTCACTTCTTGTGCTTTCTCTCTCTGAAAAATTGTTCATTTTCATCTGTCTGAGGGGCAGGTCTAGGAGTCATGAATCTGTGCTAAAAAAGAAAAAGATGGAGTATTGCACTTCCAAATAATGCTATACAGAAATGCAGTCTTGCAGCCAAAGCTCTGAGCTAATCAGTTTTTGTTTGCCTGGATGACAAGAATATCAGTTGTAATTTTCCTCACTTTTCTTTTTATGAACATGCATCATACTGCCTGTCCCAAAGAAGCTGACTTTTTCTTTTGTTCTTGCTTCTGGTTTTCGTATATTACTGTATTAACAATTTTTCAACAACTTCTGAATTCCTAGTGACATTACAGATGACTGAATTGTCTTGAGTTTTGACCTTACATTTGCCTTTCAAGGGAATTCGTTTGGTGAAATTCTATTCCTGTTAGTTTATTTCTGTGTATTAATTGGTGTTGGATTTCTAAGCAGTTCCAGGATATCTGTGTGAGAGAACACTGTAGAATAAAGACTTATGTCAATCAGCTGTCATTAATCATGTGGGGCTTGTTAATCTGCAGTCTGTTTTGTGTGGACACACTTTTAGTAAAGAGTGGATTTACAGACTTTAGAGTTTGTCTCCTGACAAAATGCAGAAAGTTTATGTATGTATAACGTAACTGTGAGTTGAAGAGACATGTTCTCTCCAGGTGTAGTAACATTGCTCTGAAGATCACAGTTCGATTTGATTTTGGCCTCCCCTTCTCCAGTTTGGTTTCCAAATTTTTTTTAGCTATATAACATTTCCCTCACACTGAACAGGGCTGGAAATGTAGAATACTGAATTATTTTCAACAGAGATTCATACCTTATCTTGAGCAGTTAATGTACACTAAAGAGTTGTAGTTTTAATTGGAAGTTTAAGGATGAATTAATGTATTTGTGTTTGGCTTTTCACAGGGACAAGAAAAGAGACAAAGAAAAGGTCAAGGAAAAAGAAAAAGTCAAAGAGAGAGACAGAGACAAGGAGAAAGACCGAGACAAAGATAGAGAACGTGATAAAGAGAGAAACAGGGAGAGAGATAAAGAGAGAAACAAAGATCGGGAGCGAGTCAGAGACAAGGATAAGGACAGGGACAAGGATAAGGAGAAAGATAAGGAGAAGGAAAAAGACAGGGAAGAGGTAGACCAGGACAAGGAAAAGGAAGATACTGAGAAAGAAGGAGAGAAGGACAGAGAGAAGATTAAGGACAAGGAGGGAGATAAGGACAAAGAGAGGGACAGAGAGAAAGAAAAAGATGGGGATAAGGAGAAAGAGCGAGAAAAAGAGAGAGATGATAAAAAGAAGAAAGAGAAGAGATCCAGAACACCCCCAAGAAGCTATAGTTCCTCAAGAAGATCTCGTAGCTCGAGCAGGTTGGTTTAGAATTTTTTTTCATGCCTTTCTTGACTTGTCAGTTCAATAAGGCACCATCCTAGTTTTCATATGTTAGTATCACCGTGTCTTTTACTAATGTAATTTGTATTATTGTTTTGTAGATCTTCCTGTAAAATAAAATATACGGCAAAGAGCTCTGTATGATGCTTGGTAGAGCATAGTTTCTTGTTGGGCTGCTGGTGCTTGCCTTTCATACAACCATTTAGTATTGTCCTTGAGGACAGTAAGTAGAATGATTCTTGTGGCATTTCTCTGCATTGAAGCCACCCAAAAGTTCTGATAAAGCAAAATCACACATAGTCTTTGTCCTGATAAAAATCTGAGTCACTGTTATGTAGTTCCTTGGTTTCTTACATACTGTACAGTGTTGATCCGTACAGCTTGTGAACAGTTAGGTATTTGTCACTCTTCAGTTGGATGGCTGAACCAGCAGGAAGCGAGCATATCACTTGGCTGGCTAGCCATTTGGAATATTGGTATGTCACTTGGAAGATAAGCATGCGTTGTTTTGCTGGTAGATGGCCAGGTACAAGTGAAAAGTAGCATTCCTTAATGATGCTAATAGCCAACATGAAAACAATGTAGCTGTTGTTTTTGCCTCTGAAGGAGGCTGAACTGAGTGGAAGTCTGGATAAATTCAGCAAAAGGAGACTGTGAGATTGATGATAAGCTCTGTAAGTGGATCAACTCATGCATAATCTAGAGTGTTGTGGCTGACTTAAGTTCAGAAGCTTTGGTGGAAAAAGTGTCTGAATACCTCAGGTATTGGGAGTTCAAGAATACCACACATCAAATTTAGATAAATTTTATTTGTTAACTTGAGAGAATGAAATGCTGGATGAAAAGTTCTACATACTATAATCATAACGGACAAAAGCAAAATTCCCCCAGTCCTCAAAATTCAGGAGTGCATGGCTCATGCAAAGCAGTCCATGTTGTTTTTTGAGATTGATGGGCAAAATACTGTGCTGCCTTTGAGCATTTGCAGCTTCCTGTTTTGATGCATTTTTAACATTATTTCATGGGTAGAAGACCTACAGAGAAGAGAGGTATTTCTGCCAACTTTGAAAACATGTCATTTTCTGTCTGTAAATCTCAGAAGTTTTCAGTTAGGTAAGTGTAGAAAAAAGATTTAAGATTTTGACAATATGTAGTGACAACATGTAGCTTATATAGAAACTTGGTGGAAGACATAGTTCTTAATGTCAAACAGCAAATGTGTGTAGCTGGATGCTGCCAAAAATTGATACTCTAGTTTGCAACAATAATGCTTCATTTAAGAATCGTGCTATTGAAGAGAGCAAAGGGTTCTAGTGAAAATTAGTGCATCTCTTCTAGTGGAATCACAGTGCAAAACTCTACTTTGATATGAAGGTTTTTTTGTTGTTTTTTTTTTTTTAACAGAGATATTACTAAACAAGGACAATGTTCTTTTGAATACAGAGGATGAGAGAAACACTTTTTTTTGACATGGATTTGTTATTCTTTCTTTGGACATAGTTATCCTTAGAATATCAATACTGGAACCAGTACTCTTGAACATCTTCATCAGTGGACAGTGCACCCTCAGCAAGTTTGCAGGCAATACAGAACTGGGGGGAGAGTTTGGTACGCCAGAGGAATGTGCTGCCATTCAGAGAAACATTGACAGGAAAAAATGCACTGACGCGTCTCGGTTGGGGCAAAGAAAAGTCCAAATCCTGCACCTGGGCAGGCAGACTGTCACACCAGTACAGAATGGGGACTGACTGGAAGGCTGGCTGGTGGAAAAGGTCCTGGGGTTCCTGACTAGGTCAGCAGTATCCTCCTGTGCATTAGGCAGACTGCTGTGAACAGGGCAAGGAAGGTTAATTCTTCCTCTCAGCACTGGTGAGGCCACGTCTGAACCTTGCATCCAGTTCTGGGGTCCTCAGTATGAGAGACAGAGATGTACTAGAGTGAGTCCAGTGGAAGGCCACAAAACTGGTAAAGGACTTGGAACATCTGTCATAGAAGGAGAGACTGTGGGAACTGGGATTGTCTAGTCCGGAGAAGAGAAGGCTGAGAGGACATCTTACCAGTGCATATGAGTACCTACTGGGAGAGTGTGAAGAAGACAGCCAGTGAGGGCCAGTGACAGGCTAAGAGGCAGTAGGCACATACTGACGGATTGGAAATAAAGAGACTTTCTTCCAGTGCTTGAATTATGTTGGTTTGGTTTGGTTTTGGTTTTGGTTTTGGTTTTTTTCCTAGGCAAACTGGACCCAGTTATAGTGAGAGATTGTAGAGTCTTTTTGGAGATAGTAAAAATCTGACTGGATGTGGCCCTGAGTAGCCTGCTCTAGTTGACCCTCTTTTTAGGTTGGTGGCAGAAAGGTTTGACTAGCTGGTCTCCAGAGGGCTCCTCCAACCTCAGTAATTCTGTTATTCTCTGAGAAGTAATTGTGAATAGGTTGGATTACAGAGTCCCAGTTAGCTTGCATTTGGGGATATCCGTTTACTGTGGTGATTGATATTGCCTAGTTGAAATAGTAGTTGAAGTAGCATTTCAGCTGCCTAAGTTTAGCAGTGCAGCACGGAGATGGGATTGCTAATCCTTTACTGGATGAGTGTAAAATACTAGATAAATAGTCACCTTTTTGGAGAAGAAGTGAAGGTAGAGTTGGACATCCAGGACCTTCTGAGAGCTAGGTGGCAACTGACCTTGCTTTATTGACAGACCGCATGCAGGTAATAGAAACTAGATGACTGTTTGTGATTCCTAGCTGAAGGAAGTGGCACAGACCAGAGGAAGAGGAAGAACTGACTCCTTTTCTAACAAATATTTACAAGCTAGCAGAGAAGATAGTTATGGACTGTTAGTTCTGCTTATGACTAAGAGGCACAGAATCACTATTACAGTATTCAGACATGTTTTTTCTTAAGTTTTGCTGTGTTAGTATTTCTTAACATTGTTAAGCAGGTGCGCACACATCTTTGTGTAGACAAATGTGATGGAGATGAGAACGAATACCATAAGACAGTTAAAGCTCTTTGACTTGAAATATGAAAAGCAGAAACTGGAAATTAGATTTCATGAATAAATGATTTCTGTTATGAACACAAATGCTAAGGCACTTAGTTACTCACAGATATGTATGCTTTAGTTTATTTATCCCCACTTTATTTAGTGGGGATATACCCATTGTAGCCCAAGTGGGAGCGCTGTCAGTGTACTGCATCAGTTTTCAGTATCCTCGTATTAAAACAGGTGCTGATAAATGTGAAGCTGTTAAAAATGTAATGTGTGTTAATTAGTGAGCTGATTGGTGATTTTATTATTTTCTCAATGATTCTGAGGCCAGTTTGTATTTTTGTTTACCAAAGATCAAGTCAAACTGGAAAAGCTTGCTGAACAAAATAGTTACGAATTTTTGTCCTGTGCAGCTTGAGGAGATCACGGTAGATGATATTGTCAATGTATCAATCCAGATAACGATACAAGGCATATCTTAATAAATCCTTTGTGATTTATTTAATAACTGTTGATTTCTTGGCCTTTCTAAATGTTGAAGATGTAAATACTCACACCTGGTGGTGTGAATTTTAAAAGCCGGTATGTGTAAGAATAGCATATCTTGAAGTTAATTTTTAACTTCCCTGTTTTTCTTTGATGGCTCTACACATCCTCTTTTTCTGCTTGAGGAAGAGGTGATAGGAAAAAATCACGTTACTTTGACAGAGGCAGGATCTATGTTTATGTTGAATGAAGTTTTACTGGATCAGGTTTTTGCTTTATTTTAACATATATCTTGGTATGTTTGCAACAAGTTATTTAATGTTATGTTCTATTCAAGGTTGGAGTCTGTAATAACTTTGGCGAGCTCCATATGTCATACATCTGTAAACCAGTTGTTTAGTAAAATACTATGAGCTCTTCAGTGCCTCACAGAATGGTAACATTATGTTTGCTGAGCAAGGACTTCTAGGAAAACAACAGATAATGACTTCTTGTTTTGATTTTGACAACATCTTGAGCTTCATTTTGCACAGTTTACTTCTAAACCAATAGGAATACTGTATTTAGGAATTAAATTTCAGTCAGGTTGAACTGAAATTACAGTGATCTTCAGATTCTAATGTTACATGCTGAAGTTTGCATTGCTGAAGTTAGGCCTTTTGTCTTAATGTGGCTATTCATTCAGTTTAATTCTTTTCCTGACTGAAGAAGCTCTTACTTAATACAGAATTAATGAATTGTGTGTTTCTGTTGCTGTCATGTGAGAATAAGCAAAAAACTAAAATCTGAAAGGTACAACCTTTTTTCCTCACGTCTAGCCTTCCCTTTCCCACCATCTGAAACATAAGATTTTTTTTTTTCTTTCTACAGTTCACATATTGTTGCTAATAATAAAATGTTAAATTCAGGGATATTTACTTATTTTTTTTTGTCTCAGATTATTTTAAGGCCTTTTTTGTTTTAATCTGGTTCCTGATTTTATTATTTTTAGTCTTACTTTTATTCTTTGATGATCTTGAATTTCTTGGTCCTGTAGAGGAAGGCGTAAAAGGAAGAGTAGAAGTCCCTCCAAGTCTCCTAAATCATCCAAAACAACAAAAAGAAAGTCTTCACGAACTCCTTCTCCAAGAAGGTAGGTTTCATGTAAACGTAAAGATTAATGAGCAGTAAAGAATCAAGAATTTTTTGTATTTTCATTGATTAACTGCTGTTGCACTGACAATCTCAGACTCTTCCAGTTGGACAGTATGATGAATTTGAGCTTTGGTATGCTTTCACCTGGAGAGTTCCAGATCTGTCAACAATGCAGATTTGCTTCAAGTCTGTAAAAGCTCTTCACTGGATACAGGTGGACTTGGTTTTCTCTTTGCAAGTACTGTGCATACTGAACACATGTATTCCTCAGCTCGTATCAGTCAAAAAATGCCCTTGTCTTTACAAAAAGGGGTTTTGTTAGTGTTTTGAGGTTTTTTGTGAAAACCCATAGATGAAAATTTAGTTTGCAGTTAAATGGCTTGAAGGTTGTTGCTGTTTGATCAAATTCTAATATGAGTAAAAATTTTCTTAAACAGAAGCAAGAAAGAAAAAAAGAGAGAGAGAGATACAAATAACGAAAGAAGAGAAAGAGAACGCTCCACCTCCAAGAAAAAAAGTAGTAAAGAAAAAGAGGGAAAGGAGAAATCTGACAAACGCGCCAGTACCTTGAAGGTAAACTATGTATAGATAGAATCATAGAATCATAGAATAGTTAGGGTTGGAAAAGACCATAAGATCGAGTTCCAGTAATAAGCAGAATGAAGAGGTGCTAGTGGAGCCAGTATTGAAATTTGCTCTTTTCTTTTTCTTTCTTTTCCTCCTCCCCTTTTTCTCCTGTTTTCCTTACCAAATTATTACCATTTCTGTTTGGCTTTTGCCAGTGAAAACCTACAGTCGGTGTGTTAGTGGGCCAGTTTCATACGTCTCCATTTTTGAACTTTACTGGACATAGCAGCTTGTATGAATAGGTTATGGAATCACTTTTTGTTTGTTTCTTTTTTTTGCTCCATATGTAAGGACCTGGCTGACTGCCTGTGTGTATGAGCAGGCAGGAAGCAGACTGTGTAACTAAGGAGAGCTGTTCAGGAACAGCTTGGCTGTCAAGCTGGAAAGATTACTTTTCCAATAAACTTTCACTGTTCAGTTCAGCCTCTCCCTGGTTCCTTTGCCCTGGTGTGCATGTTGGACTCCACAGGAGTAAAGTTGAAGAGCTGAGGAAGAGTGGTATGGGATTTTTCCTGCAAAATAGAAGATGGTGTGATTAAGGAAAGAAACATCTTCAGATTTTTTCAATCTTAGTATTTGAAAAGCAGCATGCCTTTAAGAGTAATTTGTTGTACTCAGAATTATTCAACTGTTATAAACAGCTGATTTGGGTGACTGCCCACATGCTTAAGTAATTATCCACGAACTTTGTTAAAATGCATCAGGTATCTGCCAAAAACTATGAAAGAAAAAAGCTTAATCCTATTTTATTTAGGAAATACGGAGAAATCTTCACTTCTGGAGCTGTTTCTAATAGATTCTGTGATGCTACTTTGTTCTTAATATTGATCGTAAAGACAGATTATGGCATTGATTTCTTGGACGACTAGTTGTTATGAGTGCCTAACTTCATACAATTGAAAAAGAAGCTGACACCTCTACTATAAAAATGGCCAAGACAAGATAGGCGTGTAAAAATTGAGCCAAAAATAACAAAAGGTGACTGGAAGTCATAAAAGTCATACCCTGTAATGCTAAGAATATGATTTTTTTTTTTGTAAAATAATTCTGTTTTTGGTAGGACAAAGATCACACTAAAGAGGATCAGAATTCAGAAACTGACAAGGAAGTAGACAGCAGAGATACAGAAAGGACAGATGAAGTCAAACTACAACAGAATGGGAACTGTCAACCAAATGAAGAAAACCTCTCAATTAAAATGGAAGAGGTTTAAAGCAAAGAGTGGGCATCCGATTCAACTAAGAAATGAAATCCAAAGCTTTTTATTTCTCAGAATGAGGAAGAAAATAAAGCAATCAACCTGATCGTGTTGATAGTACTAGTAGCTCTTTCAATTCTTGGGATAGCTTTGTTGTCTTCTTGCTGTAAAGCAAGAGAGCACGGACCAGTAGTTATAACATGAAAAGGCAAATGCCATCAAAACTGTTCATCTCTGAAAATCCATGTATTCTCATGATGGCTGTACTTACTTGTGAAATGATTTATGTTAAGTTTTGCCATAAGCTGTTACATAAGTAGAAACTGAAAGATGTAAACCTGTACTACCCAAAAGAAGCTGAAGATATGCATTGAAGTTTGTTTAAAATTCTGCTTGTTGATGATTTTGTGTTGTTTTACCTTGTGGGTTAAAAAAATCCACAAAAACTTCAGTGTATACTGTTTGATGTGCTTGGAAATGGTGCATAAATATACGCACTTTTTTCTGTTGTAAATGATCCCAACAGAAAGGGGTTTAAAACATAAACACAGTTTTACAGGTCTTTTGTTAAATACCCACTGACCAGTACGTTTTTAAGTTGCTTACTGTTTGAGATTCTTGGGGTTTATTATTTGAAAGAATTTCTTACTAATATCCATAAAGTTAATATTTCTTTTAAAGTATTTGAACAATGCATGTTACTTTTCTGTTCGTAAAAGGGACACTGTTATGTTATAGATAATAGATCAGATTACTGAGTTATTTTGGGGTTGTTTTGTTGCTTTCTTTGTCCTTCCGGAAGTGAGCACTTCTGTATCATATTATCTGAATTACAGCTTTTGTTTTCAGCCGTACTGCAGTGTGTACAGCTGCAAATAGTACAGGTGCCATTATGAAAATAAAATTTACTTATTTGTTTTAAAAAAAAAAGTGGGAGCACAAGCAGATGCTTTAGTGCCTTCTTAAAATGTGGTATTTTCTAGAAACGTATATGTGCTGTTACTTATTTTCAGCTAAATCTTACATGATCTCTATTGCTGTTTTGCCACCACTTTACTGTAGACAAGAATGCAAGTGATTTGTCAGAATGGTTGCTGTATTCACTTGTTAAAATGCTAAAGATCCATTTTTCTTTTTTTTTTGTTTAAGAACAGATTTATAGATAAAAGCAAAGATGCAGTTTGGGGACCACCACTGTACAAAAGTAGTAGCTGAAGTCAAAGCATTTTCTGATCACCTGCATCAAAGACAGCCCTTTATAGACATTTAATCTACATTTGGATGGCCTTAATTAATTAATAATGACCTGTCCCTCATCTTCTCTTATGTCTGCTGGGTGAAACAGAAGGAATTGCATGTAAAGAAGAGGGCAAAATAATTTGGGGAAAATTCTAATTACACAGGAGTTAAATGGTAGAGATATTTTTTTTTTCTCATTCTTTGGGGAGAAAGCAAGTAAGAGAGAATGACAAAGCAAATATTTTTGTCAAGGTAAAATATGGCTTGTCTTCTCAGAGCTAACTTAATTGGTTACATGAGATTTCTTAAGAGTCATTCCTTTAAAACTTACTATTTTTAATACAACTTAATACAATCAAATGACTTAATTGCCTTACCTCTTAGGAAGAGTTATTGTTGAATACAGTACAGTTGAAAAAAATGCAATAGCGTATTAGCTGTTTGGTTTCAATTTGATTTTTTCAACATTGCATAGTGAATTCTTCCAAAAAGAAAAAAAACCCACCCGGTATTATAGGGAGTGAAAAATTTGCCCAATTCCTAAGGCAATGAAACCCAGTTTGATTGTGAAGCTGCTTAATCACTCTTCATTCTCAGTAGGATTTAATGTTCTTGCCAGTGTGTACATTTAAGACTATAGAAAAAGCTTTACCATGTAAAGTATAGACAGTCATTTTTGTGCTGTTGGCTGGTAAACAGCTTATTCTGATAAAAGAGTGACAAATCTGTATGCTTACAAGAAGACTATGAAGGATTGTGTCTTGCAACAACAGCTGTCTTATTTATGATGTGTAAGTAGCATAGAGCAAAGAGATTGTTTGTATACTTGTTATCTTTGGTACCATTTCACTAATAAAATCAAGTATTTTAGAGGGAAGTTTCTGCTAGTACATACTTATTAAAGGAATATTTTTAGTTGATCTGGGTCTCATTCACGCAGCTTCTTTAATTAGAAATGTCTATACCAGTGAAAATACAAATGTATTATAGTATCTTTGAAAAGCTGGGTTTCTTTTTTTGGAGGAATTATAATTCTTGCAGTGTATCGTGTTTCAGCTGATACTAGCTTGATTTCTTGAGTTTTCTTATCCTGAAATTGCATAGTCATTATAAATCAGTTGCAAAATATATAAAGGATTGGGTACAGTTAACTAAGCAACATTCCTTTGGAAATTAATAGTGAAGGATGGCAGTCTTATTAACTAACTTATCCCGCATATAAGTCCATGTGCACCACACTGTTATATTGTTTATGAATTAATAATTCCCTTACAAAAAAACCTTTTACTTGTTTTGTTTTTAAAGGAAAAAACTCAAAACAACCAACCACCGAACCCAGACATTTCCTCCCCACCTCAAGTCATATTTTCTTAAAAATGCTGTATTTTCTGGGTTTGCTTTGTAAATATTGTGCAGATCTGTAGGGTAAAGTTTTTTCTATTTGTATTAGGTGTTTTGCAGTTCCCCTCTTCCTAAAAAAGCCACTAGTAGAAAACTACTGTTCTGTAAAATGCCTGTTTCTGCAGAGGATTGATCGTTTTTCAAACTGGTAGTGTAGCACAGTAATGAAGTCTCTGCTTGCTCCAGCAGGATTGTGTGCATCATCCATTAAGCGTGTTCATACTTTATTGGAATTGCCTTCATTGTTAACTGGTTTGCATGCTGAACTGCCATGGTAGATTGCTTGGTTTTGCACTGCATAAATGAGATTACATGGAGTGATGTTTTGAGAACAGTGTAGTTCATGATAGTTTTACTGTTTTAAATGTAATTTCATTTGAGTCAGTTTTTATTTGAAAATACAAGAGATAATTGCTTAGAAAAGTGATTAGCCATTTTGCTAAGACCATGTAAAGCCTGTATGTGTAAGTTTCTGTTAGTGGCTACAGTTATTTCACAGCAGTGTTTCTGGGTTACAGATAGGCTTTTTCATAGGATTTTGAGGGAAGAAGATAGAAGGCAACTGCTGGTGACTGAAACAGGATTCCAAGTTCAGAGTAGAGGTGGCTGTGACTTAGATAAACTTATCAAAGTCAATAGGCTTACGCAAATGAGAGGGATGAAATTTTGATTGCAAACATTATTAGTATGATATGAAAAGAATATTGTTAGAACTAAGGAGAAAAAAAGGCACTTCGCTTAGAATCTAGAAACATAAAGAATACCTGAGACATCACCAATACGTAGGTTTTACCTACTCATTAGCATTACCTGCTCTCTTTTAATGGCAGTTTCAGGTGCATCTGAACTACCTTTGAATTATCTGGCTAATAGCAGCAACCTGTGCACAGCTTGTATTCTGAAATGAGCTGTGATCGCTTGTGTTTCCTCTGCTGTAAGGAGGTAAATGCCATGGCCTTTAGCATAGCTTGCATTGCTTGCTAGTGTTCCCTGGGCCAGTTACATCTAAGGCAATACCTGAAATAACTTTGAAACTGCAAATGTTTGTTACATGGTAGCTTCTCTGTGTTGCCTTCAGCCTGTACTGGTATTTTTGTAATAGTTACTAGATCTAGGGATTTCTGTGAATTTCTTTTGATCTGAGGAGGAGATAAGCAAAGGCTGCTTTGTGTGATAAAATTTTATACTTCATACCTGTCCTTATTATTCTGTACTTTTTTCATTCGTGTATGGCTGTTGCAAGCAGTAATTCCTTAGTGATTGGTACGTGTTTTCTATGACTGAGTTATCTCTGCATCAGTGTCTTCTTAGAGTTCATGTATTTTAATTTTGCTAGCCATTATCTTGGGAAAAAAAAAAACAACAAAACCAGACAAAAATAGTCTTGAATTTTGTAAATGTTAGTGTGAAAGTTGCATTATAGCAGTAAACCAGCTAATTGTGAATTCTGAGCAATGACTTGCAAACTGGGGGATATTATAGGTACTGCCTGCCGCTTGGTGTACTTCTAGTTTTATAGTAATTGATTATTGCCTTTGGTGTTATCATGATTTTAAAAGTGAGAATTGGACTTAGTGACACAAATGCTGAGACCTGTAAATGGCCAAAGTAATGTAGGCACTTAGTTCAGAAAGATGTGGTTTTCTCACCAGAGGCTGGAGCGTGGGCAGTTGAAATTTGTAGATACCATTATTACCTAAAGAGAATCTAAAACTTAATTTTGTTTGCTAATGTATGTAAACAGAAAAAAAGGTTTGAGCCTGTACCTTAGGTTTATTTTTATATGTTGAAAACTGTAATTAAAATAATATTGAAAACTAAGACACTGTATGAAAAGGTGTTTGTTTTTTTTTTAAATGTAAGATAAACTGTCAGTGGTGTTTAAAAGATGTCTTTGCATGCAGTGGTTATTTTTACTTCAAGAATATTTCATTTGTAGGCAAGACCTGTTGCAGGATCTGAGCACATTTGTCTGGGGATTTCTTCAATATTCTCTTCAGTGTAAAACAGCTTAATATAGTTGTCTGTGGAGGCAGCTACTTTCCACGTGGTTTGAGACACTCCTCCAGTACTTTGATTCTGTATTGTTTAAGTAAATACTACAGTTGAGAAGCTATCTACAAACTTCAGCTTCCATAGTTTCCTGAAACTGTGAACTCTTTCTATTCAACAGGAAAAAAAATCCTTTTTATTTAAATTGTCATCATAGTTTTATCATTGTTGATCTTAATACAGGAGAACATGGACAGCAAAACTTTTAGCTGTTTATATATTTTCTGGTATGGTTCAGCTTAAATTTGTTACCTTTTTTTTATGTTAATCTAATGCCAAAGACAAGACTTGAGATTTTTGGTGTACGAAGTATGTTCCATGGTAAACTTGCTAATGAAATTAATCTTCAATTGAAAATGTTGCATGTCTTTTTTGAAATGAAAGACTTAGCAGTGGTAAAAGAATGATTGCAGCTTTGTTTCTTAGTCCTTCATGTCGTTAATGAGGCTGCCAGTAAAGTAGCTTTCTAGTGAGCTGTTGCTCTACTCAGTAAAACCTTTCTTAGTGCAAAGGTGTGGAACTACTGCTGCACTGATGAGTAAATTATGGGCCACTTAGAAGTTACTACTTCATAAATTCATCATTTTCATAGTAATCAACTGAATGAGTGATCTTCTCTGGAAACATCAGGAGAGTAACTTGACTTGCACAATTCATGTGGTCTATCAGTATATCCCTTCTGGTATTTTTTTCCCAGTGATGCAGGAGCTATGATTTGTTACACACAGAACCTACCACGGTCTGCGATCAGGTATACCTCAAGAACCTCAGCAATACAGCAGCAAAAAGTACTGTTCCCCTTCTCTAAGTTCGGTATTTCTGGTAAGAAAGTAGGTCTTTCAAGTTTAACAAACATTACCAAAATGGAACAAATTTAGTTTATTTTTGCATTAGTGAAGAAACTATGAAATGGTACAAGTAAAGAAATTTCCAATGCTACTACATTGTTGCTGTTTTTGTAAATAATGCCCCAAAGTTTTAATGGTGTCATCACTTAATTTGGATGAGATACAGAAAATGGCTGTGCAGCAATTCGACTTTCTCTTTTTAAATTTTTTTTTAATTTATTTATTAGGCTACATCTGCCCCAGAGAGTTAAGTGCTTTGTAAGTAAGTCTGTTGGGACTGATATTGACAAGAATATTACATGAAAGGGGGTGAGGGGTTAACTAACTAAATGTATCATCACTGTTTAGTTAAATCCCCTGGCCTAGCAGGGGATTTTCTTCTCCAGAGAAAGCTACCATAGTTCCACCAGGGAAGTTTGTCTTTCAAACAGGAATTTAATAAGTGTGACTGCATAAAGTATTTCTCAATTTCTTTTTTTTTCTTTTTAAAGTAGTATCAGGAGTTCATGCAGAGCTTCTGACAGTACATGTCAATCTATTGCCATGGATATTTTTCATATGACAATTCACTTAAGCTTCCCTGTTACTTTGTGCAATGTGTAAGAGTCTAAATAACAGGCAGTGGTTAAGGAGCAGAAGTTTGAGGTCTGCTTCTCAACATAACTTGTTTGGTAGGGATCTGATCTTGTGATTTTTGGGAGCAGTTATGTCTGTAATGAGACTTGTGGCTGGCTTACCTGCTACTGATCAGGTGATTTAGTCAACACATCTTCAGTCTAGAGAGCTGCATTTTACCATGCTGCTCCTCTGAATGTGAAAGGAGGAAAAAACACGTCTGAGAAATACATTGAGATGTCTTGGCAGTGGTTCAAAATCATATATATACCTAATCTTGTTAAGTAATAAAAAAAAAGTTCTCTTTAGAGGAGGGGATAGAAAATTGAATAAAGAAGTGTCAGTCTTAAACTTTCTTGTGTAAATGGCTTGGTTTGCCTGCTTGTTTTAAGAAAACAGGCAGACATAAGCATTGGTGCTAGACCTGTCTTAAATGTGCTGCTTCAGTATGAGATGTGGGGAAGACTGCGTCTCCTGGTTTTCTCTCTACAAATTTTACCTCTCATTTTAAAGGTAGAACCTAAAGAAAACCTTTAAATTTTACTGAAGTAATATGTTAAAGGGTTGCTTCAGATTACTGGATTTAGAAGTTCAAAGCAGATGCATTGGTCTACATGAAACGTGAACATTAAAAGAACGTGTAATCATCTGTTTTTTGTCAGGTTTGTCTTACTGTGATGGGGTAATATTTTCCACAATTTTTCCTCTGCTTTGTTCAATTTTGTAGGACTACTCCTCTTTAGACTTCTTTAATAAGTCTTCTGAACTGTTAAAAACTTGTCTTTCTATGAGCATGGCTATTTCCTCACAAATATTCAGTTTACGCATCCCAGTTATCCCGTAGGGTCTCATCAAGACTAGGTGAGGAGTAGACTTGTCTGAACTGTACTGTAAATCATACTAACCCGTGTTACAGATCAGTCTCAGACAAAATGATCAGTATTTCTGAATGAACCATTAAATGGAATGAACAGAAGGATGTTATGAGATAGTAGATACTAACC